ATGCCATTTCCAGAAGCAATGGTCATGTTGATTTAATTAAGTGCCGAGAGCAAAAGGTGGAAAGCTGAGGTGGACAAGGGTGAGTCTGGATGGGATGGTTTCTGGTGTGGTTTAGTTCGGGGTGAGATCAGATAGAGTGGGAAAGGCAAAGGGGTTTGGGTTTTGCTTCTGTTTTGATGCAGGGGGAGTGAAAGCTTTAGACTTTAGACACCTTGAATTTATGGCAGTTACAAGTATTATGTAGATAACAGTACCCCAGAGTAGTTGGGCTAACTCCAGAGTTGTGAAAAGATGGATGAGGATTTGCCTAGGCCTCAGTTGTTTGATGGAACATGATATAAAATAAATTTCAGCTTCAAGACAGAGGGGAGAAGGAGTGGAGAATAAGTACCAGGGATGGGGGGTGGGTAGGGATCAGTGGTTAGGGGGACAGAAATACTGACTTTTCCAGGCTCAGGAATCCCTAGGCTCAGGTCCAGGTCCCCTACATAGGCCCAGAAAGTGAATGTGGCCAATTTACCAGGTGCTTCTCCCACATTGCTGAAAATAACACTCCACAGGGAGTTTCTCTCTCAGCTGCTGAATAACCTTTAGATGCAGTTTTGTTCCTTTCTCAAAAGATGTCAGCGTATGGAATAAACAGGAAACACATAGACAGCCCAGAGTCAAAGATCATGCCTGAAGGGCAGGCACCCACAGAGGGCTTTGATATCACCAAAGGGAAGTTCTTGGGAGAACTCACCCCTACCTTCCACTAAGCCATGTCCTTCCATCTCCTCCAAGCCCAGGAAACAGCAGTCACCTCCTCCAGGAAGTCTTTCTAATTATACCTGCCACATAAACAGGACACTTTGGAAGCCAGCCAGTCAGTCCAAGTCACATCTGAAGAGGAGTCCCTGCCACCAAAATACATGACAAACTGACAGACAGCTTCTTTGAAGATCTCCAGTGGGGTATCTACCTCCCTGCTCTACCTTTCCCTCTCCCAACCTTTCCCCAGCCAGTCTATTCCACTTTGGGATAAAGTAGTTCTGATTTGTAGGAAGTTCTTCCTGACATCAAACTCAAATCTGCCTTTGTGCCGTTTCATCCACTGTTCCTGGTTCTACCTTCTGGGACCAAACAGAAATCAAACCTCTCGTGCACAGGCAACCCTTCAAATACTGGGGAACCATTATCGTGCCTCCCCTGTCTTCTCTTTTACAGACTAGATATCCCAGTCCCTTCAGTGACTCCTTGTGTGGCATGATCTCCAGGCCATATTGGTCACCCTCCTCTAGACAGTCCCTGCTTTCAATATCCTTCCTCAGATCTGACACCTAGAACTGAACACAAGACTCCAGGCAGCACCTGCCAAGGTCAGAGTGCAATGGAACTCTCACCTCTCTGGTCCTGGTCATTAGGCCTCTCCTAATGCATCCTTTCCAAAAAATTCAGCTTGTATTAGCTTGTATGGCTGTCCTATGGCACTATTAACTAATATCAAAGTCAATATCTATTACAGCCCTCAGGGCCTTGTCTTTTCTTTTCTTTTTTGTCATTTTTTAAAATTAATTTATTTTGATTTATCAACAATCACTTCCATAAGCTTTTGAGTTTTAAATTTTTCTCCCCTTCCCTCCCCCTCTTCCTCCCCAAGATGGCATGCAATCTGATATAGGTTATACATATACATTTCTATTAAACATATTTTCACATTAGTGATGTTGTGAGGAAGAATTAGACCATACAGGAGGAACCACCAGAAAGAGGAAACAAAACAAAACAGATGGGAAAAAAATAGCAAATAGTACACTTTGATCTGCTTTCAAACTCCATAGTTCTTTCTCTGGGTGTGGATAGCATTTTCCATCATGAGACCTTTGGAGTTGTCTTAGATCCTTGCATTGCTGAGAAGGGCTAAGTCTATCAATGTTAGTCATTGCACAACGTGGCTGCTACTGTATACAACGTTCTCCTGGTTCTGCTCACTTCACTCAGCATCAGTTCATGTAAGTCTTTCCAGGTTTTTCTGAAGTCTGCCTGCTCATCATTTCTTATAGCACAGTAGTATTCTATCACATTTATGTACCACAACTTGTTCAGCCATTCCCCAATTGATGGGCATCCCCTCAATTTCCAGTCCTTTTCCACCACAAAAAGAGCTGCTATAAATATTTTTGTACGCGTGGGTCCTTTTCCCATTTGTATGATCTCTTTGGGATACAGCCCCAGAAGTGCTATTGCTAAGTCAAAGGGTATGCACATAGTTCCAAATTGCTCTCCAAAATGGTTGGATCATTTCACAACTCCACCAACAATGCATTAGTGTTCCAATTTTCCCACCTCTTCTCCAACACTTATCATTTTCCTGTTTTGTCATCTTGACCAATCTGATAGGTGTGATGTGGTACCTCAGAATTGCTTTGATTTGCATTTCTCTAATCAATAGTGATCTAGAGCATTTTTGTCATATGACTATAGATGGCTTTAATTTCCTCTAGTCCTTTTCAAAGAAACTGCTGTCTAGACTTGCCTCCTCCATCTTGAACTTGGAAAACTGATCTTTTGAATCCAAATAAAAGATTTCTTTTCATTTATCTCTATTAATTTCATCCCCAATTCCAGCCAGCAGTCTAGTCTCTTCAGATCTTTTTGAAGCCTGGCTCTGTCATTCATTTTGCTAGCTACCCCTCCCAGTTTGATGTTATCCCTAAGTCTGATTAACATACCATCTGTGCCTTTATTCAAGTGAAAATGCTGAACAGCATAACATCCAGCAGAAATCCTAGAGGCACTCCGCTGGAGACCTTCCTCCAATGTGAGATTAATAATCATAATCAATAATAATGTTTATTAAATTAATTAATAATAGTGCATTAATAATAGCTCACATTTATAAGGCATGTTAGGGTTTGCAGAATGTATTATATTGTTATCCCACTTGATCCTCATAACAATGCTGTGAGGAAGCTGCTTTTATTATGTCCATTTTTACAGATGAGGAAGTTGAGGCTTAGAGGTTAAATGACTTGCCCAGAGTTACGCTGGACAGCAGCTAGGTGGCACAGTGGATAGAGTGCTGAGCCTGGAGGCAGGAAGATAGATGAGTTCAAATTCAGCCTCAGATACTTACTAGCTATTCAAGCCCGGGAGAGTTGCTTAACCCTGTTTGCCTTGGTTTCTTCCTCTGTAAAATGAACTGGAGAAGGAAATGGCAAACCACTCCATATCTTTGCCAAGAAATGACCCCGTGAAGAGTCAGATATGACTTGAAATGCCTGAACAACAATAATAACTACACAGCTGATGAATACCTGAGGAAGAATTTGAACCCAGTCAGGTCTTTGTGACTCCAGGCCCAGCTCTCCATCCACTGTACAAACCTCTTTGGGATTGATCATTCAATAAATCCCCAATCCACCTGAAATTCCTATCAGCTAGGCCACATCTAGTCCACAAGGGCAGCATGAAAAACCTATGCTTCTGTTCCCTCCAATAGCGCACACACACTTTTCATATAATTTTAATCTGTCTAGTTCTAAAGTCTGTCACTATTCTGTCTACCCCCCATTAAATGGGAGGATCTCCTGAGTAGGGGCCATGTCTTCCTCTGACCAGGAGATTTCTACAAGGGTTGGTACTTTGTACCCATTTCTCTCTGTCTGCCCTAACAATGCTCAGCAGGGAGCTGAGAGGGTGGGGTAGAGAAGAGACAGAATGACTGATGTGCTGAATTGTTGTTAATGTGCACCTCTGCTTAAACAAATGATGAGAAATCTTCATGTGCCTCATGCCAGGGTTTAGAGGGAGGACAAGCAAGAGTGGGCACAGCCCCAAGGCTGGCATCAGCCTTGGCCTCTGGGAGAAGAGCCAGGACTGGACATGCAGGGATACAGGGAAGTGACACAGAGCCAAAACAACACCTTGTCTGCCCAGGGTGAAGGAGGGGACTTGGACAGGGAATAAATGTCGTTGGGTCTGCAGAGACTGGGACCAGAGAACAAAGCTAAAAGGCTAGAGCCCAACCCACGGGGGAGGGCAAGATCTGAATGAGCTGGCCCTGAAAACAGATGGTCTTGCCTCCATCCCTTAAGGGGGTTGAGAACGGAGAGGGGGAAGAACTGGAGCTGGAGACAGGGCTCTTTAAAATTGTCTTTGTCCCACAGTGCCTTAAGTAAAATACATTTTCAAGAAACATCCACTGACTGGTCAGAGCCCACGATGACTCCCTGGCAGTTCCAAAAGGTCCCCAGCATCTGGGGCAGCCTCACCGCTGGGATGGGGCCTCTAGACATATTGCTAACCCAGAACCAGAGTAGCCTGGGGAAGGAAAGCTCACTTTGGAGGGACGAATGATAGACTGTAAGCCTCAGAACGGACCTGTACAGTCATTGGGACCACCACTTCTATTTTCAAGTAGGGAAGCTGAAGCTCGGAGACGTCCAAGTAATTTGTTCAAGGTCATGCAGATTCCAGGTCACTGTGAGCCCCAGCTGTCATTCTATGAGAAAGTAACCCTCTGAACATCTCAGTCCAGGACCCTGCCCAACAAACGGAGGAGGGAGGGTACTGCATCAAGCCTGGTGAGGTCAGGTTGTAGGAAAGGAAGAGGGACGAGGTGGAGTCCGTGGGAGGGGGAGAACTAAAATTGGGGGAAAGTAGGGCAGGGGTTCCCTCGGGTGAGGATGGGCAGGGTGATATGGGTTCCAATGGCAGGGGACTGGGCCCAGGGGCTGGGTAAGGTAGACTCAACAGGAGACGGGGCAAGGTCGAGGCCGGTGAAATAAGGGGGTGAGAGCTGGGCTGGAGCCCCTGGGGCAGGGGCCCAGCGAAGGGAGTGCCGGGGCCGGGATTCCCAGGAACCGAGCGGCTCTAGGAAGGGGCGTGGGCGGGCCCGAGCTCTGGGTTGCTCCCGAGAGGGGCGGGGCCAGGGCGGGGTGCTCGGGGCCTGGGTCCCCGAGAGAGGGTCCCGGGGGCCGGGGCGGGGCCGGGGGAGGTGCTGCGCATCTGCAGGGCCGCCGTCGCGCATGCGAACGAAGCCCAGACGGCTGGAGCCGCCACCACCGCTGCCGCCGCTTCTGCCGCCCCTGCTGCCCAAGCTGCCGCCTCCACTCCCGGGAGCATGAAGGACCGAACCCAGGAGCTCCGCACGGTAAGTGCGCTCCCTGCGCCCGGCTCCTCGCGCCCAGACGGGGCGGAGCAGAGAAGCCCAGCCACCGGGGCTTCGCTCCGGGACACGCCCAGGGCGGGCGCGCCCCCCTACCTTTCCCTCCGAGGGGTGGGGGAGTCCCAGGCCGACCCCCATCCCATGCTGACCTTCCCGAGACTTTGGTCCTTGCTCCCCATTTGCCCTTCGACTGGGGGTGGCTGCCTCAACCTCCCTAGAGGCCCGGAGAAACTTTTCTTTTTTCCTTTTATTTGGGGGGGAGGATTCTGGGGGTGACGCCTAGGGCTTTAGCCCCTAGGCTCCGATGGCTGCTGGTCTTCTTAGACTCCCTTAAAGAGGTGAGTGTCTCCCCAGATTTCCTCGAGCCTTCCTCCCCCACTTCCTTGCCGAGTTCAGGCTCCCGGAGCTGTCCGAGGTGCTGCCCTCTGGGGCTGGGGGGAGGGGGGCGGGAGTGGGAGAAGGAACTACCAGACAGCTCTTCGGGCCTGGGGGAGGGCGAACAAGATTTATGTGCCCAGCCCAGGGCGAGGTCCGGAAATGGGGCTGTCTGGAGGGACAGACTGTTCCTAGATCGAGGAGGCGGGGGCCACCTGGGCTCCCACTTCGGCCTTGGTGCCTTTTGTCATTAGAAAAAAAAGGGGGGGGGGAACCACCGGTGGGTGCAGACCCCCTCCTTGCGGACGCCTTGCTTCCGTTCTCTTCAGCTTGGATTTCACTCTGACTGAGACACTTGTGGCTGCTGGTTCCCTCCCCTTCACATCCTCTGCTTGCTTTCTGTGAATTGGATTCTCGCCCCCATGCAGTAAAGGGGGACACGTAGCTTCCTGTGTTCCCCCTTGGCCACTTCCCACCACTATGTGCAGGGGCTCCTGGGACCTCCCCCTACTTCTGATTAGCATTTTTATGTGGCCTTTCCGCCCCACCACCTCCTGATTGTCACCAGTCTCCACAACCTCATCTCTCCTCCTGCAATAATGCCTGGGGTCTTGAGACTTCTCTTGAGCAGGCCCCATCCAGAGGGGGTGGAGGGAAGGGAAATTCCCTCACTGCTGCCATTAACAGGGGACGGGGACAATTACCTGCCCAGTTTTTCCTCCCAGGTTTCCACACTCTGGGGCCTCTCATGCCAACATTAGTCTTATTTCAACGTCCCTGGACAGATTCATTTATATTTTTTCCAAATTCAATCTGATTTTCAAGCTGTGTTTCTAGGGCTCCGAGGTTTCCTAGTACATTTGTCCAAGTCCTGATAGTGGCATCTTGCCCTATACCAAGGCTTCCTGCTCTCTCTAAACCAGGAGAGGGTAGAAGAGAAAGCTTTGTAGGTTGGGAAATTTTCCAGAGAGTAACCCTGTCTTCTTTAGCTTCAACTCCCTAATTCAATTTGGCAAATACTTATGGCGTGCCTACTGTATGCCAGGCCCTGTACCAGGTGCTGAGGAAAATAAAAGGATGGATGATGAAGACAGAGCTTCTGCTTTCATAGCAACCTCAAATGCTCAAAGCTCTAGAGCAGGGGGAGTGCGGGAGGGGGAGGTGCTCACCTGAACCACATTTGAGGAGTCACCACCCCATGCCACCAACTCCTTATTAATTATCCAGGGGATGGTGAATTGTACCCCTTGTTTTTTACCCACCCCCAGTTTCTTGATCTTTTTGTTAATTCTTTTGAGAGGGAGAGAAAGAGAGAGATGTGCTGAGGATACCAAAGAAATGTGGAAAGGAATGTCTATTCACATTGTAGTGTCTATTCACATTGTGTTGAATGACTGCCTGAACGTGGGGGCCAGATGGGACCAGGGCTTCTCTGAATTTGAAAATGGCCATCAGGGGAAGGGATTCTGGCAATAAATCCAGCTCCAACTGCAACTCCAACCCTTTCAACCAAATCCAGAATAATGAAGCCTCTCTGTTCATCTGTCTCTGGAAGTTAGAACCCCATGCTGAAATATGGTGTGGGAACCATCGTGCATGTATGCTACTCCTGATCTCCAAGCCCTTGAAGTCGTAATTAGGACAGGAAGCCTTCACCCTGAAAACAGCCTACAAGGCATTGTTATGGGTTCAGCCTCTGCTGCTCCTCCTCCCCTACCACCATCCCAGGAAAAAACTAACAGGTCAGGTTCTGCTGGGGCATGGGCCTCTGGGGAACCCCTCCTTGTCCCCTGTAATTGGTTTCTAGCTCTGTCACCCTGAGGCTGCCAGCTTGGAATCAAGAACCAAGTTTGAGCCATTTAGGTGTCAGTGTCCAAAAAGATTTTATTTGTGCTGATTTGGGAGTCTTCTCCTCCTCCACCCCTACTCCTAGTGTCTGCTTAATTCCAGTTCAGGCCAGAAGGAAGCTCATGGCTAGAAGATTGTATTCTCAACTCTGAAAGACAAGGATTTAGGGAGAAGTGGGCCCTGGAGCTCTTTCTTGACATTGGCTTTGGGACCATTTTCTCACAGAATGAGACTTGGCCCTGTTAGAATCCTATCATGGTGGGAAAGAGAGAAAAAAAAAAAGCCCTCTTATCTGTCCTGTGGACCCAATCTATAGACTAAACCCTACCGAGTCTGAGTCAAAGATTAACCCCTAGCCCCAGGACACAGACTGACCATTAACCTCAGGCCATAGACTGTCTCTTAACCCTGAGAATAGATTAATCTCCTAGCCCTGGCCACAGACCTACCTGCTACCCCGCAAATAATCTCACCAGCCCTCCCTATTGACCACAAGTGAGATAGGGCAAGAGTGTGGATGCTTCAGTGCAGCCCATTGTTGCTGCTGGAGAAACAATTTAGGATTCGAATTTGATGGCTGGAAAGGAAGAAGGGGAGTCTGGTCAGGAGCCCTAGAAAGTCCTCACTTGTCCATGGTTTTGTTTTCTTGCTTTGTAAACCTTGGTCTGGACAAGATCATAGAGAATATAAGGTAACTGTCTTCTCCATCAGCTCTGAGTATGGGGCCTTTGTCTCACTCCATCTCACACCCGACGAAGGGCTCTCTATCATGAAATCCAGGGCCCCCAAAGTCAAGGAGCCTCCTTCTTCTTCCCTCTGGTGCCCCTTGCCCAGCTCAGGGCCCTCTAAATGGTGGCACCCATGTCTGGGAAGGGATGAGGAAGCTGCCCTCAAGGTATAAGCATTGGACCCTTTTTCTGCACCAAGGGGCCTGTTCTAAGTGACTTGGGATTCCAAAGGAAAAGATGTGGTCTCTCGAGTTGTTAATTCTCTAAATACTTCCCCAGCCTGGGTTTGTGGTTGTCCAAGAGTTTCCTATTTGCCTGCTCAGTGGTAATTCCTAAGAGGAGGTAGACAGCATTAGCTCATAGATGAGTAAATGTATAATGGGCTTATTTTTAGGCAAGTCCCCTGACCCTTCACAGAAAGAGACTGTGAAATACACAGCTTCGGTGTGTTCCAAGTGAGGGGGAGGAGAAAGAGAGAGTCAATGGAGAAGTAAAGGGGAAGAATTCCTGGATGGGATGATAGGCAGCCTCTGTGTCTCTGTACCCTAGAATCTACAAATGGATGATGGGTGTGCACTCTACACTAGCCAGCCTCCTATACCTTTCACATCCGGTATTTCATGCAACTCTGTGGGTGACATAGGTAGGTCAGAGAAAGGATAGAACCCCCATTTGTGGCTGAGGAAACTGAGGCACAGAGAGGTTAAGTGACTTGCCCAAGGTTACACGGTGAGGTCAGTGTAGAAAAGCAACATAGAACTTAGCCTGGTTGCTCTTACCAAGCATATCCACTATGTCATAGAAAATTTGGCCTCTGTGAAATTAATTAAGCAATCAACTGGCATTTATTAAGCACCTACTATGTGCCAGGCACTGTGCTAGTCACTGGGTATATATAAGAACAAAAAATGAAAAACAAGAGGTGGGACTCAATGACCACTAAGGTCCCCTCTGACTCAATAGTCCTACGTCATTTACCTGGGTCCTAAAGAAGGCATTGTGGGATTGAAGAGATAGAATGAGACATATATTTTGGACATGGACAATTTGGGGATTTGTTTTGCGTGCTTATACATATTTGTGTTGTGTTCCCTATCGGCCCTAGGGGGCATTGGGCAAGAGTGTGGATGTTTCAGTGCAGCCCATCACTGCTTCTGGAAAACCAATTGAGGCCTCACATTTGGAGCAGAAGAGGGGGAGTCCCATTGGGAGCCAGGACCATGATCTTCCCGTATAAAGTCCTCACTTGTCCATGTTTTTATTTTCTTGGTGATCTGGATCACAAGATCACATAGAGGGCAGATAACCTCTTTTCAAGGGCAGGGGGCCAGGGAATGGGAGAAAAAAAAAATACTTGTTAATTGAAAAATAAATTCACCAAAAAAGAAATAAGTAAATAGTACAGTGAAAAGAGCAATGGGTTTGGAATCACAGGCCCCAGGTTCAAATCCTAGCTCTGCCACTTACTGTCTGTGGATTCTTGGGCCAGGCCCTTCATCTTTCTGGGCCTCAGTTTCCTTATCTGTAAAATGAAGGGGTTGGTCAAATCCTGCCCCCACCATAACCAACACCCCTGTCCTTGCCTTTCCCATCTTACTTTTACTGACTGGGTTAATGAGGAGCAGGCGGGCCCAGAAGTGAGAGGACAGCCTCTGGCTCAGGCCTAGCCCTCAGGCCTGCCTCAGGATAACAGCTTCAGAGGGACCAAGACCCCAGAGCCCTGGGTCTGGGTGTGGGTGCAACCCCCTTGCCACCCTGGCATCTGGGTTTTCTAGTTCATTTGGGCCACACTGAATCTTCTTCACCCCCTGCCTTCTTCAAGCATTCTCAAGTGCACTGGTTTGTGCCAGGTTTTGTCACCCTCAACCTGGGAAGCCAAGAGCCAGGAACCAGAGGGTCTGAAGCTCATGAGACACTGGGAGCTTATTCTGAGAGAAAGACCATCTGGGTTAGTAGCCAAGAGGCTAAGGTTCCAAGCTGGCTCAGTCAACTGATTTTCTGAATGACCTCAGGCAAATCACCTTTCTGTCTGTT